CTCCCTTTAGGCAGATAGCCCTCGTGTGCTTTGTCATAATTGAATAATCCAATCCAATCCAATCCAAACCTCGATTTAACGATTATCAAGGGTCTAAGAATATTATCGTTAAATTTGAGGAACTTTAAGATAAAAAACTGTCTTAATTTAATTTTAAACGCGATAGAGTTTCATACTGTTTAAATATTGCTAATTCTTATCAATTATTTAGTCCTTTTTCACCGCACATGCAACTTTTATAAAAATCCTTCCTATACATTTTTTCGCTTTCCCTTTTTAAAATGGTACTGAGGTTATTCCTAGCTTTATCAACAACAGCAAATGTTGAAAGCAAGCCGGTCTATATTAAACATCGTAAATTACTACTCTTTAATCATTTTAAAACCACGGTTGCTCTCTCAGAAATGATTTTATTCTTTTTACTCACTCCTTGTCTTCGTTTACGGAATCCAGTTTATAACGCATTTCTCCCGTCTTCTTAGCATACCTCCATAGTGTAGTGGTCAGCATGCTCGATGTGTATTCGAGAGGTCTGTGATTCGAATCCCGGCGAAGGCATTGCTCATTGTTCACGATTCCTGCTTCCAAATTAACCTAATGACTCTACAAATTATTTCACAAAATTTCTTTAACAGTATGAGATTTACAGATTTCAGCATGTACACTATGATAATATAATCTGTAACTGAAATCCTTTGGAAGTCACAGAACGCGATATAACTAACAACTTACAATTTCTAATTCTGTTTTGTGTTTCGTCTTGTTCTCGGCTTGGAAGCCTAAATTCGCACCTTATGAAAGCAAATTTAGTTTTCGATATGCATGCGGGTATATATTAAGCATATCCTTTCCTATGTTAATAAACTTCAGTGTTCCGGAATTTTAAAATTTAGTTTGCCGGCATTGTTTTCAGATACCTTAAGAGCTTACAAAACATTTTGCACTAAATGTTTACGATATAGGGGTTTAAAAATTGCATTTGGCTTAAGAGGAAATAATTAATGTTCTGCATCATAGTGAAATTGCAAACACTCATTGTTAATGCTCGATAAAAATTTAACTATGATTTTATGCTTTCAAGGGCTAATATACGATATATTCATATAGCTGCTGTTCAGTAATGGTGTGCCAACATTCCAGATTATACCATCGTTAAATTCTTTTGAAAATATATACGTATTGCACTAGCTATTACTTATTGCATGTTTTTCGGCTCATCGGGCACATATTCTTCTGCTGCTAATGGGAGTTGGAGAAAAGCGAAAATTCTCACAACAGACTCTGGAAGAGAAGGAATGTTTCCAAGAAAACCAAATAATTTTGATAATAAGCCTAAAGCAACGATCATGTTACATGTCTGCATCTTATCTGGTGGGACTACCGTATAACGTTATTAGTCATGAAGAACAAGCATCTTTGTGCAGGTTGACTTGAGTTCCGCAAGGACAGAAACTTTCCAACGGTGCTCTTGATACGACGCTGAGGCTTCATTGAGCAGATTTCATAAAATTACTTTTCAACTTGGAAAGAACTGCCATCATAAACTTACCGCTCCCATGATGCTTGCTACTCAAGTTGGATTTTCGTTTGCTTTTTTCATTAAAGTGACAAACTAAAACCTTTGTTGTACAACCAGCCAATGTTCCTGCGTAACTTTGATTGTTACTTTATGAGAATGGATTTCTTACTGAACGCGAACATCATGAGAGTGTGCAGTTACATTTGGTAAAACTTAGGAACCAAATAATCACTTTAGAAACGCTCAAACTTCTGAGCTAAATTTAAAAAACATCCACTCAATAACTCATGTATTTTAACTCGGCATATTTTTTTTTGTTTTTTTTCCTTTCAGTGCGAGCAATATATTTTCTTTAGTATTCCAATTCCAGACGCATATAGTATTTTTCCCTATCTAGCGTTTCCAACTATCAGCAAAAGAAATAAAAGTAAAAAACTAAAATTTCTCGAATAAAGAAAAAAATGCAAATATCTTCGTCTTGCGCCGTTTTTCCTCTGAGGTTTCAAATAACTGGAAAGAACTAATAAAACGTCAGACTTTTCTATGAAGGGCATAGGGGTGAAGAAGGAATGGAGGGGTCTTATCATCGGAACACAGGGCGACCCCTAGGGAAATAATTTCTAACCGGGGTCGTTACCAAGCAAGCGTATGTATATGTATGCGCGTGCGCGCACCCTTGCCCCATTCCCCCATCATCCCAACGGGCGCGAGGGAATTTTTAAAAGGTATGGCGATATCCCTTCACCCCTTCTTCCGATATGTAATAATACAAGACCCGCTTGTCTTTTCTTCTATTGTTTCTCATCGTGCTCTGATTAGCAGAGAGGGCTCTCTATCACTCCCCCCCCCATCGAGTTGAAAGGGGAAGCACTGGGTTGCTCTGGAGAGTTTTGCATGAGGGAGAAGTGATATTGAGGGTTTGAGAGCGTTATCGGGTGCTGGGAGAAATTACCTTTTCGGTGTACCGATTGAATCAGAATAGGTTGGAGATGGAAGGTGTCGCCCGCTTCAAGTGGGAAAGAGAAAAAGCATTTACTGCATGAGAAAACTCGTTTTGATTCTTTTTTTTTTTTTTTTTTTGTTTTGTTTTGTTTTGCTCAGTCATTCTTTGATCTCTGTTTCGTAAGCTAAACTCAAATAAAGACCAGAAAGAGAAACTGAAGGACATTTCTGGCGGTAAAGTATTTGAAATTCTAAGTAAGTGAAACAAGTCGGCTAATACATTTGTAGGGGATTATGGGTCGCCCGAACCTGTATACTGGTTAGCGATGCTGACTGCTGTACCTTTGGGCCTGTGTTCGAATCTCAGAGAAGGCTTGAATGTTTTTAACTTTACTGTATGAGGAAACTTAAAATACTAGAGAGTCAAAAGTCCTTTCGCATGGTTTGATAATAGAGAAAGAGGGGGGAAGATATTCAGATCCGTGCCCAGGGCTTTTCTCCATCAAGACTGGGATAATACTGCGTAGTTAGTGTACTAGGAATACATCTGTAAAACCACATCTTTCTATCCTGTAGAAAAGGGAAATATCAACTGTGCCTTGACAAGATTCGAATCACTAATCTTCAGCATGACAACTGGCATGCTAACTACTTAGGGAACGTTTGAACGAGGATTTTGCGGTCATAAGTAGCATAAGCTGAGCTCCGTTGTTACCAGGGCATATCACGTCACAACGAGACCTTGCTACGTCACAGAAACTGGTCTAAGGATTTGTCTAAATGTTCTACCCGTTAAACTTTAGGCCAGCTTGGTACAAAAACTAATGAATCAGCGAAGGAAACCCAAACTGACATTCAGCCGACTATTTCACTAAGTCAGCTGCCCATTTACCAGAGCTTAAATTGCCGGTACTTCTCAGTTTTCGAGATAAATTATAATTTCGGCCGTAGCTCATCGGAGCTCTAAATAAAAGGGCTCCGGGTCTTCTTTTACGTAAGTGAACCACAATTTTAGCACATAAATTTGATTTTAATAGTAAAACATGCCTTAAAAATAATTCTAACTTCTGAATGCAGGCCTGTCTTTCCCTCGCACTCAAGCCTTGCATAGAGTTTGAAACTTTTAAGGAAAAAAGCCCCCCCCCAATCCTATGTCAAAGGCTTAATCTCCAGGATATGCAATAAATTTATGAGAACGGATAAATTTTGTGTTTCTCAAAGAACTGAAAGTGATACCCTGGTCGTGCACGTTCTACGCTAGTGATTTCCTACTGCAGAGCTCCTGTATACATTCTGAATAATGTAACCAAACGAGGGGATTACTACTGTCACTTGCACAGAAAAGTCATATTTATTCTCACGTTTATTTCGGGAGAATTTATTCAGGGAAAATTTCTGCTTGACGGCTAGAATTATATTGACAGGGCATCGCGATCAGAAAACCTTGAACTCTTCCCTCTTTATTTTCAAAGCTACACTTTTACGTTAAATTTCTATATCCTCATACTGTTTCTAGGAATCTCAGTATTCTGCTTAGTAGAGCTTCAACCGGTTTATCCTTTCTCCTTGTTGTGCTGCAAAAAAAGAGTGGTACCCGTGATCCCTTGGAATAGTATAATATATGTATAATCTGGGCTTAAATTCAGACGGACATCTGCTGAACTGCTTCTTAGCATCTAAGTGGAAGTGTAATTCCAACCGATGCCCCATATAAGACAAAATACGACACTTTTTTATTCTGTTTAACTATTTAAAATTAATTAAACAATTTATTAGTTCTATTTAACTCTTTACATTTTCTTAATTTAAAAAAAATTAAAATTAATTAAAAATTTAATTAATTAATTAATTAATTAATATTAATATTAATATTAATTAAATTAATATTATTAAATTTATTATTTATTTTTTATTTCTTCTTTCCTACCTCATAGTCTCCCATAGGACTCCGGTACTTCTAATTTCAGAAATTTAGCCCTGCCATTTACACATGTGTAACTTTACCTTCCCTGACTGACTGCGGTTTAAACCACAGCCAGTCAGGCTACGAACTTAATGACTTACAGGTGTGAAAGTACTTAATGACTTTTACACTTTAAGCTTGTGACAGTAATGATGACTAGATCATCACGTGAATCCTCCTTTAGATCAAAGAGCACAAGCAGAGAAATGCAATAATTCATTACATTCTCCCCCTCCTAAAAGGCAAATAGGGAGAAACACGAGACCCAGTCAGCAAAATACACATGAACTATTATTATCCAACACGTTTAGTTCGGGATGCCATGTAGGCACGAATCCAAGGAGCTGGCAGTACCATCTGTAATAAATAATAAATCATAAATCTAATAAATTAACATATCTACGGTGTCACAGAAAAATGTTCTTCAGATCAATACATTCTTGTAATTTTAAAATTCAAGCAGGAAATCAGTGGATATACCTTCCTGGTATTTGTACCATATACAAACAGACCATCATGGTAACGCAGAGAGAACAGGAAATTTTGGATAGGAGATTAATAAAAGAGAACACATACCTCTGGCATAATTAATGCAACCATGGAATAGTATAAATTGCATGCGGACCGAATGCTCGATCTGAAAAAAAGTAGATGGGCCAGAATTTCTTTTTTAATAAGATGAAAAATATTATTAACAAGATAAAAAAATATTTGATATTAAATTCCGCTTACTAAATATTTATCAAAACATACATAAACAATAATAATATCGCAAATAAAACCAGTTCAAATTTATATTTATTTTCTATCGAAAAGTTTGATACTTGTAAGACATTTTTCTTGGTTACACTTTATAATTCAAATATACTGAGAACTAAATATTAAAATCTTAGACTGATATTTCTTTCAAATAATTCTAACACGCTAATTATTCACTAAGTGAATTACTTTAATTTAAACTAAACATAAATCAATTATGAAAAGTTTTTTAGTTTTAAGAGAAAATTTAACATTTGGGGCAAAACTTGAAATTAAATAATGAAAACCTAGTCTCGTTCTCTTATTTATTGAATTTTGCTTCAGCGTATAATTAAAAATAGATATGTTTTAGGAAACTAATCATAAATTTCTCTGTTTCTTACTACAACTTGACACTCGATGATGTTTTGACTCTGATAAAATCTGATGTAGCCTACTAGAAATTACCCTTATCACGGATTGTAGATGCTAATCGGTTGTCGATAAATTTCTTATTAATTTTAAATTGTGAAAAAAAGGATGTTCACTTATAAACGTATTTCGAAACGAAGCGATATTCTTTGTGCAAAAATTCATACGCTACTCGACATTGAAAATGCAACAGGAAGAAGATGCGGCCCGAAAATTACGCAAATTTCAAAGTAGACGCACGTCACCGAGTTATGCGAATGATGTGAAATGCGCAGCTCTTCAGCGCACGTTGAAGAAGATATAAGGAAAAGAACCTACAGAATGTTTAATTTTCGTGCCATTATTTCTGCTACTGAAATCGTCGTAGAAAATTTGTTCTTGTCTTAGAGGATGCGTGTAATGGCAGAGAATGCCAGGCCGTCGTCAATGAAGCAGTTCCAGCAAACAGACGATTTTACGAAAGACATGGCTGAGAAGGGCAGGTTGGTCAATACGGCAAATCTCAGCTGACACACACCTGGACGTGTCCACAGTGCACCGGCTTTGGTGACGATGTTTGGAACAAAGAAATGTGGCAAGTTCGAAGGGTGCCTATGCAGCCAGAGTGATGTGGATCGACCCATCCGCCGACAAGCGGTGGCGTACCCACAAGCCTCTTCAATTTCCATTATGTTCAAGACCTCGTATACTTTTATCGATATGTGATGTTCCCATATCGACCAGACCATTTGCCGTCGATTAATGGCTAGTAGCTCGCACTCGTGACATCCGTTAAGAAGACTGCCATTGACTCCACATCATAGACGCCAACGTCTGCAATAGTGCAGGGCTCGAGCGATGTGGGTGGCGGAATGGCACAGGAGTGTGTTCTCAGATGAGTCACGCTTCTGTTTCTCCAATGACAGTCGCCATATACGAGTGTGGCGTCCATGTAGAGACAGGTCCAATCCGGCAGCAATTGTGGAACGTCCCACCGAGCGACAACGCGGCATCGTGGTTTGGGGCGCAACTGCGTACGATTCTAGGTTACCTCTAGTTTGTATTCAGGGAACTATGACGGCCCAACGATGCGTGGATGATGTGCTGCGACCGGTGACACTCCCCTACCTTCAGGAAGTGCCTACTGCCCTTTATCAGCAGAATAACGCCCGCCCACACCCCCGCCAGACCCTGCCGCTGCCGCGTTCAGAAGACGAACTGAAGTAAATGGTTGACAGGGAATTGAGAGCTATCCCTCAGGACACCATTCGTAGTCTCCCTGATTCTGTACCTAGCCGTGTTGCTTCGTGTATCGCCGTCCAAGGTGGTCCTACAACCTACTGAGGCGACGCTGTTCTCGCTCTGTATTACGCATATCATTTCGAAATAAGGATAATTTATTGTTCGTTGCTGCCTCTCTCTGTTGCCGAGGTTCATCACTTTCTGGCCATTCCTTCTTGATGTCGCATTTTCAATGTCGGGTAACGGAGTTGAGCTTATTTATTTCTTGATGTGTAAAAGTTGATCGAATCTGTATCTTCATTTCAATAAGATTTATATCACATTATCAGTTTATTATTATTGACCATCTAATCAATGGAATCTCAAATCTGGAATAATATAAACTCAGACTTCAAGTAACTAAAATCTTGAAATCTTTTCAACACCGTATTTGCAACAGATGCATATGAGCAATGTCCTCGCAGGCAGCATAAAATTACTTCGGAGGCCGTATACGACCCACAAGTGGCCATCTTGGACCACTGATATAGAATATGCCGCTGAGGATTTTCATACTATGAATTTATTTCTTGAAGATAACATATGATATATGACTATCTTCTGCACAGCGACATTCCTGAAGCCTGGAAGAAACTCTGTACGCTACGCGATGGAACACTGCACCAGGAATCCTGGCAATTTCCTTCCCTATCTTGTTTTAAGTTCCTCTTTCGTAGCAGATCGAATACGATAAAATTTGCATTTAAGATGATACTAAAAAAGAGAGGCCACATTCTGTGAGGTCAGACGATCTTATGTGCCAAGCAATATCTCAGTTTCTTGAAATCATACGCTTGTGATTTCAAGAATTTCTGCCATAGATATTCATGCTATGGCTCTGTTACCTGTCTTGCTGAAACCAATTTTTGTCAGTTTTGCTGTAGTTGATTGAAAAATACGATGTCATTTGGCTTAAGAGCAGTTCGGGGTCTAGTTGCATTTTTATTTTTTAGAAACAAGCTGTTTTCTCACATTTACGGATTCATGTGTTAGTTGCATAGGCTGATGGAACACGACTATGTCTGATAAGACTTGCTGAACTGATTCCAAAATAATAAACAAGCGGTTCGCGGTTTCACGCTGCCATTATGAGAATGTACATTCGTGTGAAAAATTAAAAGAATTTGCATATTATGACGAATTTCTGAAAATTAATGGACAAATTTTAATGAAATTTGGAATTAATATACGTTTATAACGGAGGAAGTCATTTTATGCACGCATGGTTATCAGAAAGGCTCATAGTGCAAAGATATCTAAAAATCCTCGTTTTATGATAGCGAATTGAAAATGAGTTTAATGTGAGGTATAGTCCTTATGCATAACCAGACAGGTAGCGCAGCATGACGGCATAATGGACGGGAGGCAGTTAAGTCTCTGTAGCAGTCGATTCCTCCCCTGCAGTAGGGCAGTTTTCAACTGTGGGATGGTTTCTCGGAAGGATATAGCGAGATGAAATTACCCTCCCAAGAGCGTCTCAAATATGCTCTGTGGGGTCAGGAGATCTGGCTGGCCAATCCATGCACCTTCCAGTAATCGGTGACCAGCTGATCCCTATATGGACAAGCGTTCTCGTCCATTAACAGGAACTTAGGACCAACTGCGCCCCTGAAGAGTTAAACATAAGCGGGGCGGCTCTGGGGTTTCCTCTGTGTACATCATAGCAGTCAGGGAGTCTTTGTCAAATACATGCAGGGGTGCGTGGCCATTCAACATAATGCCTGCCCAAATTACACACCACCATCGTAATAATCCTTTTGCCTGATGAGGGCGAATTATATCATGTTCCATGCTCTCTGTAGATATAGGTAAGCCAAAAATCGAAGTCCAGGCTGGAGATTGACCCGTCCTATTGAAGTCTGGTCCAAGGTGTACGTTGTTTGCCCCATGATAAACGCTCTGTCTTCTGTGCTCCAGTAAGCGGGATGCAAACATCGAGTCCTCTAGAATACAACCCTATCTCATGATGCTTTCGGGCAACCGTAGACCGTGAAATTCGACTTACAGTGCCAGCGTACAGCTCACGTGAGAACTGTGAAGCTGTGAGGATCGTTATTTGGCGCTGAAAGTGCCAAATAACGATCCTCATTCGTCGTGTAGGATCATGGTCAACCTTGTCAAGGGCTTATCGATATGAATACAGCCTCCTAAAAATGTTTCCACAAATTGCAGACGGCACTGAGCGTTACACTCTTGCCACCTGCTCCTGTGATTGGTCTACCTCAAATCCAGTAACACTTCTAAATCTCATTCCGTCATCCATTAGTGGCTACTTATTTTATCTGATATTTTATAAAATTTACCCAGCTCTTGCGAAATACACGGTGAATGTCGTGAAGGAGGACAAGCACACAAATCGCTGAAAACTCTCGCTTATATCACCTCCACAGTCACTGCGCTGATATCCCTTCCATAATCACATCTTCGCAGATTCTTACTAGGTGTACGTTTACATATTCGATTCTGAATATTTGCATAATCCTTCGGCGGCATTTTTGGTACCTTTGGTTCTACACATTTCTAAAAATAAACATATTTTGCAAATTCTCTTAATTTCGCACATGAGTTTAGTTTGACTGCAAAGCATAATGCGACCATCGCTCTATTATTCCTAAATGGAAAATAATGAGAATGATGGTATATGCTACTTAGTGCTTCTAGGCCACATGTTTTGGCAGGATAGGATTCAAAATTTCCCTTTATGTTGTGCTACCCTCTGTACACCACTGAAAGAAGACATGCCACTAGTCGTTTCAAAGAATCGAACCCGAACAGAATCTAGAACTATTTCTTGGCTTATTCACTCAGTCATTGGTGTGCACAGAAGGAATGAAATTGTGGCAGTCTGACGTTCGACTGCGTGCGCAGCCAGTCCACGTCATGTGGTTTATGTAAAAACTGCTAGTGCGGCAGTGAACTCACTCACTTCGCCCTTAGCTGGAGCATAGGATGTTTGAATTTTAGTTTAGTAGATTTTGTTATTTCGTTCCGTTATTTCAGTTGTGTTTAAAGTTATGGTGTGTGTGAATAAAGGTTATGTTTAAGGAAAAGGAGTCATGTCAATTCAAGGATATACACCAAGCACATAACCACCACGCCACCATAAAATGGTGACCCGGCGTCAACGACCATAAAATGGCGATCCGGCTACTCGCATGAAGCTTATACTGGTTGTTCGTTTAAGAGTTTGGTTCCAGAACTTTTGTGTTTTTCCCTTCAGCCACTGACATGGAGGAAACAGCAGCCATCAAGATTCCAATTTACATTCCGATTAACCCGCCATTGTGGTTTGTTATGTGTGAAGAAAAACTTTTGCTTTAGCCGCGCCCAAGCCTATTACGGATTCGAAGACAAAATTTAACTACTGCGTCGCTCATTTGCCGCCGGAAATTGCTGCGTTGGTTAGAGATATCATTCTCCGGGAACGTACAGATGCTTCTTACGAAGACCTCAAAGCTGCTATTACGGAACGCTGTGGAGAAAGCAGTACGAGTGAAATACAGAAATTACTCACCGGCGAGCAACTTGGAGATAGGAAGCCATCAGAACTTCTTCGTGTAATGACTAGGCGGGCTGAAAAATACAATGTGCCTGACTCTTTTATTCATGCACCAGATGCCGCCAAATGTCCAGTCTATTCTAGCGTCGGTTGAGCCGCTCTATTCATCGTAAGCTGCCAGTATTGTAGATAGAATATTGGAAGTTACACCCGCTCAGGTAAGCGAAGTTTCTTCTCGTGTACCTGTCAATGTCTCTGAGAATTTTAAATTGGATTCCCTGCTGGAGGAAGTGTGCAAATTGCGTAGCGAGGTTTTGTCTCTACGACGATCACGCAGTGTTTCCAAAAATCGCTATAACAGGAAGCGAAGCCCTTCAGCTAAAGCTTCTTCGAACTGTTCCTATTGTTGGTATCATCATAAATTTAGTGACAAAGCTAAAAAGTGTGTTCCACCATGTACATTCCAGGGAAAAAGTACTGGCGACATGCGCTTTACCCTCTGAGTCTCGTCGCCTTTTCATTAGAGACAGAAAATCGAATAGAATATTTTTGTGCGACATTGGCTCAGACGTCAGTCTTCTTTCAGCAACCAGACAGGAAGCGCGTCAAACGCCTATTATGCCATTTTCTGCAGCAAATGGTACCCCTATTCCAGTTTATGGACAAAAAGCGTTAAGTATTGACCTTGGACTTCTTCGTAATTTTAATTTTACTTTTTATGTGTGTAAAGTGTCAACAAATATTATTGGATCTGATTTCTCGCGTTATTTTGATTTATTATCTGATTTAAAGAACAAAAAACTTGTTGACTTAAAAACACATTTAAAAAGTGTAATTAACACACATTTATATTATGTTAAAACAATTATTACAAATTGTATTTATGATAAATTACTGTCTAACTATCCTTCACTGTCAAAGCTTCCTGATCTCAATAAGACTGTTAAGCATAATACTATGCATTTCATTGAAACCATTGGTCCTCCTGTTTCATGTAAGCCAAGGAGATTAGCTCCAGATAGATTAAAAATTGCTAAGCATGAAATTCAGAAAATGATCAATTTAGGTCACATGCGACCCTCCAAAACTAATTACTCCTCTCCTCTTCACATGGTGTAAAAAAAAAAAAAAAAAAAAAAGCACAGGATGAATTGAGACCTGTGGGAGATTTTCGGAGGTTAAACGCTCAGACAGTGAGGGGATAAGTATCCTATTCCCAATATTTGCGATTTTGCAGCGGAGTTACATGGAACAAAGGTATTTTTTTGATTAGATTTGGTTAAAGCATATCACCAAATTCCAATTAATCCCTCTGATATCCATAAAACGGCTATTGCCACTCCTTTTGGACTTTTTGAGAGCACAAGAATGCAATTTGGGTTATGCAATGCAGCTGCAACCTTTCAACGCTTTATTGATGAAGTATCTCGCGAGCTGCCAGTTTGCTTTTGTTGACAATATATTGATAGCGTCAAAGGACGAAAATGAGCATTTGATACACTTAAAAGCCCTTTTTGAAAGATTAGGTAATTATGGGTTAAGACTTGATGTATCTAAATGCAGTTTTGGTTTAACTTCTTTGGAATTTTTGGGTTTTCATGTATCTGAACAAGGTTTAAAACCTTTACCCGAGAGGGTAGAAGCTATTCAAAAATTTCCTAAACCAAACACATTAGCTCAATTAAGGAAATTTCTTGGCATATTTATATTTTACAGACGTTTTGTCCCAGCAGCTTCACATGTTTTAGCTCCCTTGAATAGGTTACTGGAAGGCCGTATTAATAAAAAGAAACCTTCACAACCAAGCAAAACAAAAGAATATCCTCTCGGATGGGACGACGAAGCCGAGAAAGCGTTCGAAAATGAAAAAAAGGCAATTGCTGAGGCAACCCTCTTCAAACATCCAATTCCTGGTGCGACTTTGAAACTATGTGCTGATGCATCGGACGTTGCGGTTGGTAGCTCATTAATGCAACTGCATAATTCAGTTTGGGAACCCATTGCGTTTCTATTCGTTACTCAGCAAAAGTTAAAGGTCAACTTATGATCGAGAACTATTGGCAATTTATTTGTCTATTAGGAAGTTTCGGCACGTGCTTGAAAGCAGAGTCTTTACAATCTACACTGACCAAAAGTCCTTAATATATGCTTTTAAGCAGAAGCCCGAAAAGTGTTCTCCACGACAACTTCGTTATCTTGATTTTATTGGCCAATTTTCCACTGACATACGATACATCAAAGGTCGTGACAATATCGTTGCTGATGCCTTATCTAGGGTAGAAATAGATGTAGTATCTGATAATCAATACATTGATTATAAAAAGTTATCCGAAGCACAAATTCAGGATTCTGAAATTCAAAATTACTTATCTCAATCTTCACCAGTTTTTAAACTTGAGAAACATTACTTTCCTTTAGAAGATGTTACTCTTTACTGTAATATGGACACAGGTATACCTCGACCGTTCATACCTGAATCTTTTCGCTCTAAAATATTTCAGAAGATTCACTGTCTTTCTCATGCCGGTATTTCAACTTCAACAAAATTAATTACTAAGCGCTATTTTTGGCCTAATATGAAGAAATTTATTAAAACTGCAGTTCAATCATGTCTACAGTGCCAACGTTCTAAAATTCATAGGCATACGAAATCACCGTTGGGTACTTTTTTCTTGCCTGATGCAAGATTTGCACATATCCATATTGATTTCATAGGTCCTCTTCCACCGTCTGAAAGTAACCATTATTGCATGACAATTATTCACAGGTTTACCAGATGTATGCAGACAATTAGATGCACACAATTATTGACAGGCTTGAAGTCATACCTACTGTCGTCATGTCAGCTCAGACGACTTGCAAAGTGTTAGTGCATAACTGGATAGCAAGATTTTTCTGCCCGGTATCAATAACAACTGATCAAGGCCGAAATTTTGAATCTCACTTATTTAAGGATTTTTGGGTACACATCGCATTAGAACTACTGCTTATCTTCAGTCCAATGGACTGATTGAGAGATTTCATAGGCAACTTAAAAATTCAATAATGGCTCATAACAACCCAAAATGGATTGAAATTCTGACTATTGTTCTGTTGGGTATTAGATCTGCCATTAAGAAAGATATAAATGCTACTTGCTACTTGCGCTGAACTTGTCTACGGTACTACACTTAGATTACCGTCAGATATGCTGAATGCTACAAATATTGTATCGCCTACTGAATCTTATGTGTCACAACTTCGATCAGTCATGCATTTAGTTAGACCTATTCCAACCTCTAGGCATATTCAATCACCAATTTATGTACATCCAGCACTTCAAACCTGTTCTCATGTATTTCTGCGTATCGATTCTGTTAAACCACCTCTAACTCCACCTTACACTGGTCCTCATACCGTGGTTAAACGAATGGATAAAAATTTTATTATTGAGGTAAATAACAAAAAGATTAAAGTTACAATCGATCGTTTGAAACCAGCATATATGTTGTTAGAATGTATAAATTCCTCAGTTTCCACAGGAAGTCTGCGAAGACTCAAAAATTGTTCCAAAACAAGTAGTTACCTGCAGTGGACGTCGTATTCATTTTCCTAAAATACTTATTACTGTAATATGATTAAAGTTTTCCCTTGTGGTTTGCTGCAAATGTTACAATGTATAGATACTTGGTTATTTCTTTTTTCATGCGCATTGAGAGTTATATAAAATGCTTTTTAACTTTTCATTATTTCTGGTTAACTGAGTTATGCATTGTATGGGTATGTATTCCAATCAGAATTGTAAATCTATTATTACTATTCATATATTTGTATTTCTTTTTGTACGTACAATTTGAAAGTATAACTGTTACTTAAATGTGCATATCTTAAATTGGAAATTTACAGCCAACCCCTTTTGTGTCGTGACTGTGTCACTAGGGGGATACTCTGTAGCAATCTGACGTTCGACTGCGTGCGCAGCCAATCCACGTCATGTGGTTTATGTAAAAACTGCTAGCGCGGCAGTGAACTCATTCACTTCGCCCGTAGCTGGAGCATAGGATGTTTGAATTTTACTTTAGTATATTCTATTATTTCGTTCCGTTATTTCAGTTGTGTTTAAAGTTATGGTGTGTGTGAATAAAGGTTATGTTTAAGGAAAAGGAGTCATGTCAGTTCAAGGATATACACCAAGCACATAACCACCACACTACTATAAAATCATACATTTCTAATACGAATAAAATCATATAGCTGTAATATTTTATTTCAAAGATTAATTCTTCGGTGGAAGACATGGGTTTGTTTTTGGTATTCTATGTTATTCTCACGACGTATGAGAAAAAGTAGCAGCTGTTTTCACAGAACAAAATATTATACCGATAAAAATCATAAGCGCTCACAAAAATGGAAAATTTATATAAATTTGATATTCATTCAATTTTATAATGAAATACAAAGACAACAAGAGCTTTTTCCCCGTGATTTATTAACTTTTAATATGGCTCGTGTTATTTATTATTAAATAAGTATACATTGGAAAACAAAATGAGTATCCTTAATGCGCAAGGTTATTGAGATGTCATAGGCAGTGCTTTAAAACATTTTTGATAAATTAGTATTACTCTATAAATATCTCAAGAAACCATTATTCCACTTACCTTTAAAATAAAACAGGAAGATTCCTGAAGATTTCGATGTTAGTTCCATCATCTACTCTTATATCGTTTGAAAGAAGTTGCCAATGCCTTTAAGATTAACGATCGGCTTGGAATGAACTACTACAAGGGCTATGGGACAACTCTACTAAAGCAGAAAGGCTCAGCAAGGGGTCGGGCAGTCGATAAATCTAGGGTCCTTTCATGTCCTTGCTTCTCCCATCCGTGGACAACACAGCAAGGTGCCTGGAAGCGTGTTGCAAAGAGAACTCTTCTAGAAAATGAAGTCTTCAGCTCTCCTCGGCACCCCAGGTAGCGCCCTGCGGGGTGCCTACAATGCGCCCCGGCACCCTGTTGAGTGACGAGCACGGGGGAATTCTTTTTGAAGAAATATATATGGCGACATGGCGCTGATGTGGCAAGACGACGGCCTTGCAGTTTTCGATGGTAAAATACCGGTTTTATGAAGATGTCTCCGAGAAGTTTTTATTTCTTGTTTCTTCTTTCTAGCTTACTAAGGAAGGACAGGGGGTATTAATATTGGCGAGAAGACACACCAAGCGGGGAAGGGGGAACGCATTAAAAACAAATAATGACGAGAGGATTTATAGCAAAGCCGGGAAAGGGTCGCGGGATTTTCTGGTGAGGGAACATCTGGAAATTTATCTGATTGAGAATCGACATGTCTCTCTTCCTTCTGAGCAAAAGAAAAACGTAAAACGAGGAAAGCTGAAATTTCTGGCAGTGTTTTGAATATTAATGAACTTTATATTTTATGACGCACCGCAGTGAAGTTTGCCGCGTCTGCTTGTAAGGGTTGAGAAGATATTGTTCTAACTACAGTGTTTTAGTGCTATGGAGCTGTACCTATACGTTATGATGTCACATCCATAGGTTAATACTACATTTCGGATTCTCTGCAGAGCATGTTTCTTTTAATGGATATTCAGCTATGTTTGATGTGAAATGGGAAACTGAGGCAGGTCTTTTATTTTGGCAGGCAGTACAACGTATCTTTCATCTGAACAGCGAATTCAATTTGTTATTATTTGTTATTGTTATATTTTATAAGGTATTTCACCTGCCTTCCTAGCGTGCCTTCGAGGTGTAGTGGTCAGCACACTGAGCCGGTATTTCAGAAGTCCGTGGTTCGATTCCCAGCGAAGACGATTGCTAATTTTTCATCTCTCCGGCTTTTCCAATTAACCTAATGTCTCTATAGTGGCGCCCGAACTAAAAGGGTGTTGTATGATGATTCTCCTCACCCAGGATTTGGCGACTGGGTCCCCTGAAAACCTCAATCGCCCTCTAAAAGGGGGAGTATATAAGGTATTTCTCCCGCCTTCCTATCGTGTCTTCGTGGTGTAGTGGTTCAGAACGCTGGGCCGGTATTCCAGAGGTCCGTGGTCCGATTCCCGGCGGAGGCGTTGCTCATTTTTCATCTTGCATGCTTTCATAAAAATACCTAATGTCTCTATAAGTTAACAAAACCTTTGCGTTTCATAGAGTTTCGTAGTTTTGTGCACAAGATCACAGAAGTTTGTATGCTACATAGATCTCCCATAAGCAGATATTTAAAGGTGTGTGTATATGTATATATATATAATGTTGTTTGATCTTAAATTCTCTAAGTTCGAAAACAAGTTATTCTAATACTTGCGCAATAGCTGCAAAGTAAGATAATAATAATTTATTTACTAAAGAAATATTGATTATATTATCTTTTAATATTAATTTTAGTAGAAGTATCTAAAAAGAGTGAACCAACGCAAAATACAAAGATGAAATTAATAACTCTTCTGGGCAAATTTCCGCTTTGGGCTAATAAAACATTTCCTCGATGCAGGATAATAACATCAACTTAAATTGGCAAATTAATTAGGAAGAAAAGGTGAATTAATTAGGAAGATTCACTTCAGCTAAAAGGCACAGTATATGAAATAACATCTCCCTCTTAATTCAAATACATAAGAAAATTCATTTGATGAATGAATAATATTTCTCCGTCTTCAAAAATGATCTAAAAATTCAGATAATGCACAAATTTAATAATTATAATTTACGTAATTTAAGCACAATACATTACTTCGCCGAAATTAGCAAAAGATGCAGAACATGAAGTTAGTGTCATCCGCAGCTACAGCATACGCTGGAAATTATAGGCAGTTTTAAAATTTTGCTTTATTGATGAAGTGGAAACAGAGATATAAAAGAATTTACCTAAATAAAATCGATCTCCCGAAACGATTTTTTTACAACGCTTCAGCTCATTATATGCAATTATTAATTTTTGCGAATAAATAAGAAATGTATAACTAATAGTGCCCCATTTTTAGGTATTTCGTTATTAACCAGCATACACCGTTAATAATGTTCTCTATACCTTCGCAGTATTGCGACGACCACAGAAGCTATTCCGGATTCTCCTGGAAAGATGGGATTTATATTTTTAGACCAAAGGGTTTTGCGATTTTGCGTCGAATCACTTTGAATGTCCGTTTCACTTTTCAGACTGTTGCTACCAAATATTATCCCCCTGTGTTATATTTGAAGAAATTAAATAATGAAAAATCTGCATAAATGTATGCATGTTTCTCGTATTGTGATAAAACAACGGTACCTAGAGCCATCCAATTTTGAATGACGTAATACTACTGCGAATATGGGCATCTGAAAGCCAAAATTTGAAATTTAGAATTTGTTTTATTATCCGTTTCCCATTTTGTAAAACTTTAACGAATTTTTGATTAACAAACTCAAGGATTTCAAAGCGAGCAATGGCAACGTTGTACAGAAAAAACATTTTTATCACCAACGCGCGAGACTTTGTATCGGAAATTCTAAAGATATCCTCAATTTAAAATTATTTTGCGATATTGCTGTTGAACTGAATTTTATGGTTTAAGTGCGAAGAGCATGATATTTAATAAGGTAACACGCAAATCGTTAAAAAAAAAAGGTCCCTTTGGGCGTAATTATAAAATCTGAAAGCTTTCAGAGTTTTATTTTATTTATTTTTTTTTGTTATTATTATTTTAATATTAACTTCAAACCAGTTAGAGAAAGCGTATGCCAACACTACGTTCTGTTTTGGTTACTTTTTCCCCCTGAAATTTCTCGGGGTCGTCTCGCCACATTTTGCGTTCAACATTTACTAGATTTGCCAAGGAATGAAGCGGAAGTATACTCTTTATTTCCAGGCTTGTGGTATTTTGCCGAAAAATCAGTTATTCTAATTATCAGGCAACGAAACAGTACATGACAATGCATGACGGAAATGCAGTGTTAACAATTGCCAGAAAAGCGTTAGAACAATGGGATTTTATTCAGAAGAAGGTATTCACCTCTTTATTTTGCAGAGATCAAATGGAATGCAAAACCAAGTTGCAGTAAATAAAAGCAGCTAAAAAAAAAAAAAAAAAAAAACTGCAGAAATAGCTGCAAAAAATAACTGTCTGATACAGTTACCAGACAGTATAAGTCGAAAATCAAAATACCTGTTTCATCCGTCTGATGACGTCGAAAATATATTTTTAACCAAAAATACCAATTGATTGTTCGCGGTGTATTGACAGGTGTCAGCTAATAGAAAAGTATGAACTTTTAATATGCTATTGCGATAAAATAATTTTGTAAAGCTGCCACGGCAATTATTTGCCAAAATTATGTAACTTAATAGCCCAGTCTGAAATGTCGAAATTTCAAACGTAATCAGAGATTTATGATGGTGGATAATTTAATAAGGAAGTACCTATTCTATTTTGGTTTGTAAAAGTAAATGACTCCTCGTTAGTACTTTTTGGCGAAATTCTTTATGATTGCAGATACAACAGAGCCCAGGTAAGAAATCCTGGTATAAAAAGTTTCCTTTTTCAAAGCGTTATTTAAAAAGTATGCGGAAAAATTTTCAGTTTTTGCTCTTAAAGTTCTTTCGCCTGAAATGTGTAATTCGATTATGTTAAGAGTATACGTATTTTTATTAAATTATATCAGTTTACTAAATTTAAAGATTATATCAGTTTTAAAGATAATAAAAAGATTATTAAAGTTATTAAAGATTATATCAGTTTACTAAATTAAGTTTAAAGATTTGTGTAAAAAGTTTCATTTTAAAGATTTTATGTTCTTTGTAAATAGGAAGGTCTTTTCAGTCTCAGTCAATTCTCAATCCACCTAATTATCAATCCGTAAGAATATATATCAAAGAGCCGTCAGTTTTTACTCACATGACAAGAAGACGAAAGCTCTGAAAAATTTCACTTAATTTTCTCTTCATGAAACTGATGTATCTTGGACACAGTAACATGCTGCTTACAAGATTGATTAATTGATAAAATCAATACAGGTATACGCGATAATGTGTGTTAAAATCCTGCATACGTCTGTTAATGGCTGAAAAAAATCTGCTGCGGAGTTTTATAAGCACTTTATTATAAGGACGTACATTCTATAGTGAGCTAATACTACCAAAACTGAAATTTTATCGCAGGTTTGTTATTTATTATTCTCTCAGTATTTTTAAGTTGTCGCTAAGTATCATATAGTTTTCTTCAAGTGTTTTCTTTTAATAAGTCATCCTTTAAGAAGTTAAAAATTCGCTAGTCGATTTTTCATCGACTAGCGATTTTTTAACTGTTAAACGGATTTCATTATTTTATTACATACTTACTTAGAATTTGTAATATCTTTTGACAGTAGGATAGGAAAAATACGTATATATATCCGTTACCTTTATCCGCTGCCTCAATACTGTGATTTCAGTTCCCATCATTTAAACTTTTCGGTTTAATTTTTTTTTTTTTTTTTAGAAATGAACGTTTTATTCTTTGGAACTTTTGTTACCTCTTTTATGTCCGCGGTTTAGAGGAACAATATTCCTTACCGCCCTTAAAAATGCAGTTAGTGATATAACAGTTGCAAACCGCCCGACAAGACAGAAGTTTTATCATACCGAAACATACAAAAGAAAAGCACCTAACTGGGTCTTCACATGACCTGGCAATCCCGATTGAAACACACACACGATTTAGAGGTTGTTTATATGATTGTGCTTTAAAGGAAAGCATGGTTTATATACACTCGTGTCATCACTTGAAATTCGCCCGAAACTCCTTAGAATTTTGTCCATCTCTCTTGAAGAATGTTTAGAACTGCACATTGCAGGAAACTATTGCGTTTCTTTACGTATTTATAAATTAACTTAGAGCCCACCAGCGGCCGAATGGTAAGTGCTATGAACATTGGTAATTCGATATGGGTTATAATTTCGCTGAACGGCCTGTGCATGGGAATTTTAATGGTTTTTACCCCATGTGTAACGTGAATACGATCTTCCCTTAATCTTCACGAAGATA